GGGCAACCACTGTGTCCCTACCAAGCCTGTAGATGACGAGCTAGGCCAGCATCAATGGCCAAGGGCGAAGACCAAAGCTGCAGCGTAACCAGTCACATAATGAACCACCTGTGCTCTCTCTCTGTCCTTCCTACCCCAGTGCCAAAGGCTGTGAGTGAGTGAGCAAGAAGACCAGGCACTCCCTCTAGGCTATACTAGCAGGGATTGGAGGAGGCAATGCCTGGCACCACCAGGCTTGACTGTGAGACAGACTTAAATCTGAACAGTTTCAAATCTGAAGAAGAGGAACGAATGGGCTCTAATGACAAGGTGTCTAAAAAGTTAGGGAATTGGACTGAGACAGAGACAGCGTGAGCAGAGCCTACTCTCGCTGGGCAAATGGAGTTGGTAGTAGTTACTGGATGAGACCTTCCTGTTGCTGACTTCCCGAGAACTCTCTTCCCCAGGCCCTATGGGGCTGTCACTCCCTCCTGTCACACCTGAGAAATCCTTGACTTTGAGAGGTAACTCTCAAAGCCACGCATCTGCCAACGACAGCACCGCGACTGGAGCCTGATCGTATCTCCGTGCCATAGAAGCACAGGTGTGGCAGCCCTGAGAAACTGGGAGGCCAAGGGTGCCTCAGTGAAAGTGACCTGCCAGAAGCAGCATCGTCTGTCATTCTTTTTTTTTTATATATAATTTTTTTTTTATTTTTTGACAGGCAGAGTTGGACAATGAGAGAGAGAGACAGAGAGAAAGGTCCTCCTTTCCGTTGGCTCACTCCCCAAATGGCTGCTATGGCCGGCGCGCTGCACTGATCTGAAGCCAGGAGCCAGGTGCTTCTTCCTGGTCTCCCATGAGGGTGCAGGGCCCAAGCACTTGGGCCATCCTCCACTGCCCTCCCGGGCCCCAGCAGAGAGCTGGTCTGGAAGAGGAGCAACCAGGACAGAATCTGGTGCCCCAACAGGGACTAGAACCCCGGGGTGCCGGCAACGCTGGCGGAGGACCAGCCAAGTGAGCCGTGGCGCCGGCCGTCTGTCATTCTTTATCCTAGGAAGCCCTGCTTCTACTGAGTGTGTGTCCCACCCACGGGGAAAAAATCAGAACCGTGGATAGTGTGAAATCTGAGCTCTTTGCTCCAGGCAGGTGTGACAGCTTATGAGTTGGAATGATGTGTGTGTGTGTGTGTTTGAGAAACAGAGTGTTCTGGTCCAATGCTCTTGGCAAGAGTAGTCTTGTGGGAAGGAAGTAGATGGATCCAAAGCTCAGCCCCTCATCTGCTCCTCCCCCTTCACGCTCTGCCACAGGAACACCTAATCCTCTACCCACCCAGCTCAGGGATGACCCAGCCCCCAGCAGAAGGCCAGACTCTAGGGTCAAAGGCACCCTCAAGCCTGCCAGGTGGCCCTCAGGCAGTGCTGACCTGGATTGGTTTTTGCTGACTTTACCTGCCACTGAATGAAGTTTTTTCACCACAGCACTGCCTCTTGGACTCTGGTCTCTTAAACACAGGCTCAAGGAAAATGAACTCCAGGCTGAAGAATGTCAACTCCAGGACTTGGGGATTTGTGGAAGCTTTTCAAGGAGGGGAGTGATCTGTACAACATTTTGTATTAACGCTTTTTTAAAAAAAAAAAGGTTTATTTGGGGCCAGTGTTGTGGTGCACTGGGTTAAGAGTTTTGGTTGGAGTCCTGGCTGATCCACTTCCCATCCAGTTTCCTGTTAATGCTCCTGAGAGGACAATAAATTCTGGCCCAAGTGTTTGGGTTCCTGCTGCACACATGGGAAATCTAGATGAAGCTCCTGGCCCCTGGCTTCAGTCTGGCTCAGCTCTGACTGTTGCAGGCATTTGGGGAGTGAAGCAGTAAATGGAAGAACTCTCTCTCTCTCTCTCTCTCTCTCTCTCTCTCTCTCATTCTGACTTAAATAAATGCATGCATAAAATGCTAATTAATTAATTCAACAGGCAGAAAGAGAGAGATAATGAGACAGAGACACACATATAGCAGATAGAAGATATACAGACACTAGCAGATAGAAGATATACATATAGTTTACTTCCGCCATACCCACAGCAGCCAGTGCTGGTCCAAGGCAGGAGCCAGGAACTTCATCAGGTCTCCCACAGGGGTGGCAGGAACCCAAGCACATAGACCTTGATCTAGTGCTACCCAGGTGCATTAGCAGGAAGCTGGATGGGAAGCAGAGTAGCTGGAACTCGCACCGGCACTTCGATATGGGATGAGTCATGCCCAGCAGCAGCTTAATCCACTGCTCCACATCAAGAAGCCCCAACTCTGGCTTCTTGAGTGCTGTGACTTCACATCCTCCTGGCTCTCCTCCATTCTCCCTGGCCGCCCTTCCCAGGATCCTTTGTGCCGCCTCCTCCCTCCACCCATGTTTCCTAAGGATCTCCTTAGCAAACCAAGGGGTTTGGAAACTCGTTCTGGACCCTGTCTTCTCTCTACACTGCAGAAGCAAGTTCAAACTTTTGCATCTTTTTAAGCACCTCTACATCCTGATGATCCTAAATTCACATTTCTAGCCCCAAACTTTAATCTTCATTTGTGTCTCATGGACATCTGAAACCTCAAATAACTTCTCACTGAATGTGAGTCTTCCTTCAATAAATCCTACTGATGCTATTTCCAAAACACATGATCTACTCATTCTCTATAAGCTTCTGCTCCTGTTCTTGTTTGAGCTAACAGCATCTCTCCCACTGAACTTGCCCTGACCATTTCTGTCCTGACACTGCCTCTTAAGTTGACCCTCAATTCTTTCCGTATGGAACCACCAGAATAACTTGGATAAACTGCAAATCAGACCATCTGGATCGCCTGTGTAAGTCCCTCACTGGCTATGTGATATATTTGGGATGAAATCTAATATTGTACCGCACCTGCCTGGCCCTCTGTGACCTGGCCCCCATCTACCTGTGCCGGCCAGAAGTGCTGCTCAGCTGTGCTTTCATTTCTTCACTCCTTCCAGGCACGTGGGATGATTGTACTTCTTCATGCCTCGACCATTGGACTTGTTTTAGACAATGAATTGCGAGCAAAGGTGATCTAAGAGCCAGCTCATAATGAAACTGCACTTTCTTTTCCTGCGACACAGACTGGGGAAACCAGTATGGATGTATATGGTGCCATAAGTCAGAGGATGAAATTGGAAAACCTGATTTGCTGATAATACTGCATCTCAAGGACAGCTGCCCTAGAAATGTACCCTAAACTGCAGTGGACCTTCTTTCCTAGAAAAGAAGCTTCTGGTGGCCAGCATTGTGGTGCAGCAGGTAAAGCTGCCCCTTGCTTGCCCCGTCATCACACATCGCAGCACCAGTTCGAGTCCTGGCTGCTCCACTTCCCATCCAGCTCCCTGCTAATGCATCAGTGAAGACTTGGTACTTAGGCCCCTACCACCCATGTTGGGGACCCAGGAGGAGTCCCAGGCTCGAGGCTTCGGTCTGGCCCAGCCCCTGCTATGTGGTCACTTGGGGGAGTGAACCAGTGAGTGGATGACTTCTTATAAAAAATTAATTTTCCCACGGGGCCAGCACTGTGGCGTAGTGGGTAAAGCCATCACCTACAGTGCCAGCATCCCATATGGGCACCAGTTCAAGTCCTGGTGGCTCCACTTCCGATCCAATTCTCTGCTAGGGCCTGGGAAAGCAGTGGAGGATGGCCCAAGTCCTTGGGTCCCTGCACCCACATGGGAAACCTGGATGAAGCTCCTGGCTCCTGGCTTCGGATTGGCTCAGCTCCAGCCTTTGTGCGGCCAACTGGGGATAAAACCAGCGGATGGAAGACCTCTTTCTCTGTCTCTCCCTCTCCCTCTCTCTGTGTAACTCTGACTTTCAAATAATTAAATAGATATTTTTTAAAAAAGAGATAAAAGACATAGGAGAAGCCATTGGCTCTGAAGATGAGGAGGTAGTTGATGATCTTCAGGCTTCGGGGCAGAGGCTGCTTGCAGCAGGTGGACGCACGAGTGGGAGTGGATGGGGATGCAATGAACTTTAATAAACAATAATTTCTGCCTCTGGCTAAGAGTGCCAGGAACTTTCACACACGCTGTTTCCAATCCTTTCCAAAGTGAGTGCAGTTGTCCCTTTGTATCCACAGAGGACTGGATGAAGGATCCCTAACACTCAAGTCTGGTGAGGCTCAAGACCCTTACACAGAACATTGTAGGATGTGCATATAACCCTCACAACCCTTCCGTGTCCTTTCAAACCTCTCTAGATGACTTGTAATTCCCAAAATAATGTCAATGCTATATATATATAGCTGCTACATTGTTTTGTTTGAGGAATAGTGACAAGAAAAAGTCACATGTTCAGTACAGATGCATTTTTTCCCCCTTCTGATAGTTTCAATCTGCAATTGGTTGACCTAAGGATCTGGAACCCATGGGCACAGAGGACTGACTTTGAAACTGAAGCTGGGATATTAAGTCACTTCGTCCACATCACATACTCAGAATGGCTGGATTAAAACCCAGGTGTGGACAGGTGTTTGGCACAGCAGAAAACACACTGCTTGGGATGACAGCACCTTGTAATCAAAGTACCTGGTTTGAGTTTCTAATCCAGTGTGCACCCTGGGAGATGGCAGATGAAGATTCAAGTACTTGAGTCCCTGCCGCCCATGTGGGAGACCCAAACTGATGAGTTCCAGGCTGCCGGCTTCAGCCTGGCCCATCGTCAGCTGTTGCAGGCATTTGGGGAGTGAACCAATGCATGGAAGATTTGTGTCTGTCTGTCTGTCTCTGCCACTCTGCCTTTCAAATATAATGAAAATAAATAACTAAAAATTTAAGCAAACATCTAAAACCCAGGTGTACTGGCTCCACAGCCCATGCAGTCTCCATCACCTGGTATGCAGGACCTAGGTCTCCTGCACCTGCCACAGAGCTGCAGGAGCCTTTGGAACAAGGAAGAAATAAAGATTACAAAGAGCATACGAAGAGGGATTACTTATAAGAAGCACCTTTAAAACAAAAGCAAAGGACAAAGTATTTTCAGAAACTGTCCTTGATTTTCAATGTAGATAAAAACAACTGAAACATTCATTATTCATGACAGGAATCACAATCAATCTGCAGATTGGAGTGAATTGAGCGGTCCAAGTGCAGGCACATACACATTCCAAGTTAGCAGCCGTGATATGGATGGGTAAGACTGAACCATCATGTGACAAAAAGGAAGATGTGGTTGAAACTTTACCGAAAGAGAAACAGATACGCATACAAAGGCTCCCGCGTGTTTCAGTATCACTGCTGAAGTTAAACATTAGAAAGGAAAGATACACTTTCTTCCTCATCACCCAAAGAACATCTGCTTCACTTAGGCTTAGGTTAAAACATATGTCTTTGATCCCAGGCAGGGTCTGAGTGATACAAATCAAGCTGAATGGGGGCAAGTCTGTGGGGAACACGTATTTTCCAAGCAGGAGTAGTTCTCTGTGTTTTTTAGTCTCTTATCATTATATAGCTTCAATGATTGGCAGTTTACAATAAGAAGTGAATTTGCAGAAAGAGAGCAAGAGAAGAAAGAAAGGTGGAAGAAAGGAAGGAAGGAAGGAAGGAAGGAAGGAAGGAAGGAAGGAAGGAAGGAAGGAAGGAAGGAAGGAAGGAAGGAAGGAAGGAAAAGAGAGAGAGAGGGAGACAGGAGGGAGGGAGAAAACATCTGTGATGAGGCTGGGATCTGCAGCCTTGGTGACAGGTGACAGCCAGCCTTGCCTGAAGATGCCTTCAACACAAAATGGTAGGTGGCGAGGATCTGACCCTCCTTCTCCAGGGTGACCACATTTTAGGAGGCTCTAGATGAAACGACGTGGTCACGACCAATGTAGTGACTACTGAGTGAAGTATCCCCCGGACATAGTGACCAGAAAAAGCTGTGAATTCTGAGCTCAACTTCTCCAGCATATGTGACAAATCAGAAGACACTGAAAACAAGATTGCCTGTGTCCACTGGTCCCTGGGCATCACTGAGGCACCCCACAGGTTAGGTTCCCTGCTTGGCGTTTGAAAATTCTCCAGGCCTAGAGACAAAGCAGATGTGCTGTTGGCCTCCCCAAGGTGTGGGCATCCAGGGCTCCATAGCAAAGGCTTTGTTTCAAGCAGAATTGGTCTGCACTGACCAGGCAGTACCCTTTCATTGTAAACGGTGAGCAATCTGACGTTGGCAATCTCTCTCTCTCCCCTAAGACAAGTCCATGTTCCCACACGTTCATTTCTCAGAATTCCTATACTTCCAGTAGACCAGTAGACTGTTTCTCGCTCAGACCTAGAACCTCCGTGGTTCTGTGACGATCACAAGGCTGGGACATCTGGCTGAGTAGAGAGCTTCAGACTGGGCCATACAAGCCCAGGTTCCGCGCAGCTTGGGAGATCCTGGGAGTTTTCCTCTGTGGAAATGGATAATGAGCTGCTTTGCCAGACCTGTGTGAGTTCCCTATGGGAGGAAGACACTGAATGCTGGTTTTTGAACTGCAACCCACTGCCTTAGTTTGGGTACTGCCCACCTGACATGGACATTGGGCTTCCTCTGGAGTTTGGGTTCCTTGCTGACTCATCTGATTGTTTTCAAGCAAGCATGGGTCTCCGTCTGGAGGGAGCCTCTGGAGAGACTCTATGAGCTGGCCTTTGGGTTTTACTTGATGATCGGTTTCCTGGTAGGTTTGGACCAAGCGATGCATCTCCAGGTGCGTGTGCCATGCAGACCCCGGGGCCTGATGATGACCTCTGGCCGCCTCGTCTGGCGTCCCCTCTACCTCATCATCTCCCTCTTCCAGAGACACTGAGCTCCTTCTCTCCTTGTTAATCCAAACAGCACTGGTCATGGATTCAGCAGGAGTAGGCGTGTTCCCTCCTGAGAAGAGAAGGCACAGGCAGGGTCGTCACCAGGAGGTACATGAGCAGCTCTCAACTAGAGGGTCTTTAAGCTTTCAAACTGAGGGGAGATCATGCTCCAAATGCCCAGGGAGGGGTACTCAGCGTTATTGCCTGTGTTTATACATACATGGGAACACACATGATCTTACTAGCACATGCTCACACACACACGTGCATGCTTCCCCCAACATGCACACAAATTACATATAATTATTCATTCATTGAACAAATGTTTATTGAACACTTAACATATTCCAGGCCTAATTTACTCTAGGTATCAGGAATACAGCAGTGAACATGGAGATAAAACCCTGCATGATGTGTCCTAGTAGGGTAGGAAGATGGTAACAAAATGAATATGTTTTAAGAACATTGCAGCTGGTAACCATGCTATGGAAAAATTCAAATATAATTGACAGTCACAAACTGGAGCGAGGGAGTGAACTCTGGGAGGAAGTAGGAAACTAGTCCTTGAGGGCTGAGGAATGGCAAGGAACAAGGATGCATGCACACTCCCACACATGTAAGGGTTCACATGCACTCACCATTGGGAAAGGGTACTCTGTACATATGGGGCTTTGTGTCCTGGGATTCTGATAAAGAGATTACCAACCAAAGCAGAGTAGTAAAGAGCTGTATTCCTCCCCTCCCCTCCCCTTCCCTCTCCTCCTCCTCTTCCTTCTCCTCCTCCTCCTTCTTCTTCTCTCTCTCTCTCTCTCTCTTCCTTCCCTCCCTCCATCCCTCCCTCTCAGAAAGAGAAACTCCTACCCACTGGTTTATTCCCCAAATGCTCACAATGACCAGGTCTGGGTCAGGCCAGGAACTCAGTCTGGGATTCCCACAGTCATAGGGACCCAATCACTGAGCTGTGGCCACTGCTTCCCAGGGTCTGCACTGTCAGGAAGCAGGAGTCAGCAGCTGAAGCTGGGATTCCAATCCAGGCACTCCCATGGGGCATGCGGGGGTGGTGGTAATCCTGAATCTGAGGCTAAATGCCTGCCCTTGAACTATGTCTTAAGATGGGTCCTTGGGCCAGCGCCGTGGCTCAATAGGCTAATCCTCCACCTTGCGGCGCCAGCACACCGGGTTCTAGTCCCGGTCGGGGTGCCTCTTCCAGGCCAGCTCTCTGCTGTGGCCAGGGAGTGCAGTGGAGGATGGCCCAAGTGCTTGGGCCCTGCACCCACATGGGAGACCAGGAAAAAGCACCTGGCTCCTGGCTTCGGATCAGCGCGATGCGCTGGCCGCAGTGTGCCAGCCGTGGCGGCCATTGGAGGGTGAACCAACGGCAAAAGGAAGACCTTTCTCTGTCCTCCTCCCCTCTCTCCACTGTCCACCTTCTGCTTGTCAAAATAATAAACAGAGGATGGTTCTTTTGTTTTTGTGAGAACCGGCCGTTACCCTTCTATTCCAAAGACACTGTTCTGCAAAGACACTTGCAGCAGCTTCTCTGAACTGACCAGTTCGCATGGATCCCAGCGGTTGGCAATGGCTGAAGCAATGATGGGCTCCTTCAGCTCAGAGGCACCACCTTCCTTTCCAAAAGGCGGCACAGCTGCTACGCGGGACAGCCAGGGCCCTCTGGCTCCCAGTACCCTCCCATGCTGGCCTGCAAAGGGCAGACCATGAAGAGTCCACGGCACTGTATCAGTAACAGCCGAAAGAACTCAGCTTTGACCTTCCTGGGGATCTCCCTCCTCCCTCCACCTGCTCCTCTCCGCTGGAGGATAAGGGGCTGGAATTCGACAACCACTTTACTTCCTGAGCCTGTGCACCGAACTTGCTCCTGGTATGACATCTTCATTGTCTCTCCCGACAGGGAAGAGGTTTCTCTGTCTGCTGTCTGAGGCTAGAGGAGCCTGGGGGAGAAGGGGCCTCATAGATGTCCACGCCCTGTAGCGGGCTCCCTGGCGGCTGGGAATGCCGCTAGTTTTCTGCCCCCAGAGCCAGTTTCTCAGGTCAACCCAGCCAGGAGGCAGAGCTCCCATTCCCCCACCCCCCTTGGCCCAGCAGCGAAGCCAAGCTTGGCTCACCGGGCTGACCAGTCTAGCAAGATCAGAGACAGGGGCCAGGAAGACCTTGGGACAGACCGGATCGAGCTGTTTTGATCCAGCATTCCCTGCAGCACTGCTCCGGCAGCCCGGCTCTTCCCGCCCCTTCTCTCTCCCCCCTCCCCACTCCCCCACCAGGAGGGCTGGCAGAGCCCTGGCCCTGCCCTCCCTGCAGCTCAGCCAGGTCCCCTCCCCCGGCACCCTGCCCGGTCCTACCTATTGGGAGCACCATGAGGTGGGCCTGGGTCCTCTGCAGCCTCCTCAAGCCTTCGTACTGGGCCCGCAGCACCTGGGCGTTGAGAGGGGGCCCTTGCCCCTGCGCTGGAGTGCCGGAGCCCTGAGCCATGAAGCGAGGCTCCCGCTGCCCAAACTGGGGCAGGGCAGGGCACGGGCAGGACAACCCCTTCATCCGGATCAGATCCGGGAGAAAAGTAAACACCGGTGGGGTGAGGCTGGGGTGGGGGCGAGAAAGGGGGCAAGAGAGGGAGGAGGGGGGTGGAGAGGAGGTGCGGGGCAAAGGGAAGCAGGAGGTGGGGGCAGGGGAGGTGAGGGGGTGGAAGAACGTGGAGGGGAGGGGCAGGTGGGAAGAGGGAGAAATTATGGGGAGGAGGGGGGTGAGAGAAAGACTCTGAGGAAGGAAGTCGGGGCGGCAGAGAGGAAAGGAATCGTAGAGGAAGGAGTGACTGCAAGGGGGGATTCTTTGTGGCGTGAGAGGAGAAAGTGAGGAAGATGGGGCAGAGGAGCAGGTGGGGGCAGGGACTGGGGTGGGAGGTTGAGGGGTGAAGCGTAGAAAGAGGAAAGAGAACAAGGCAGGCACAGCTGCTCAGAGTGCTTCTGGGAGCCCCAGGAGGGGGTCTTATTCCAAGTCCTTCATTGCTTGATCCTCACGTTTAGAATCCAATTCCAAGAGCTATGGCGAAGTCCTGGAGCTGGGGCTGAGCCATGCCAAACACTTGCCCAGCAAGCGGCCAGCCTGCCAGTTGGGTTTGCAGCTATCCAAAGGAACTCTCTCGGCAGCCCCATGAAGCGGGTGCTCCCAACACACACACCAGGCAGAAGCCCAGTGCGAAAGTCAGCCGTGGGAACAGAGGCCAGGGAGCCCTGGGCTGCAGCCAGCCCCGCCCCTTTGGCATTTGAGGCAGCCTCTGTGGTCTCAGGGTTTTCCAACAAGCAGCAAAGTGGTGTTCATGTCACCCACAGCCAGGCACACCCTCACCCTCTGCTTGCCACCCCACCATCTGCAGCCCCCCAGATCCCAGACCCTCCCTTATGCTGGCTTTGACCTGCCCTTGCTCCACTTGCCCAGCTGAGTTCCTTTCTGCTTTCTCCTAACGCGGTGCTCACAGAATACCCAGCATGCTTAGAGGCAAGAGAAGCAGTAGAAGCTGAACTCCGGAGATGTGCAGCTGGCGGGATCTGGTCACTGGCTGCGGGGGTTAGGAGACAGAGCGTGCATCTTCATGGTGTAGCCTGTTGGTCTGCTGGGCTGACACAGCCACAGGCATAAACCACGACTGTTACTGACTCAGTTCTGGAGGCTACAGTCATCCAAGGTCAAGGTGTCCGCAGGGCTGGCTCCCTCTGAGGACAGTGAGAAAGAATCTGTTCCACGCCTCTCCCCTTCCTTCTGGGGGTTCGCAGGCATGCTGTGCTGTTCCTTGGCCTGATCTTTGCCTCCATCTTCACGCAGTGTTCTGTCTTGTGTGTGTGCCTTCCTATCTTTCTATTTTATTAGGACACTGGTCACCTTGGATTAGGGCCCAACCTAATGACCTCATCTGATTCTGATTATATCTGCAATGACTGTTTCCACAGAAGGCGACATTGTGAGACTGGACTTAGGATTTCCATGTGTAGATTTCCATGGGTGGGGGGGCACTTTAATTCATAGTTCTGTTCATTAGTTCTGTTCTTGGAGTAGGGCACAGGGGAGGAGCCGGCTGGGGAAGACATAAAAGGGAAGATTTGTTGGAGATGCTGCATTCTGAGGTCGTCAGAAGGGAGTTCGAAGCTGGGTAGAGAGATGGTAGCTGGAAATGGAGGTGTCATTATTTGCGAATATGATACAGCTCATCACAGGAAAAATTTTCTCATCAGACAGTCAGGAATACCTAGGGTTATGAGGTGAACCAAAATAGCTCTTTTTAAAGTCTCTCCATTATCTCACTCAAGTCCATGTTTATTTATTTATTTTCATCTACTTGAAGGTCAGAGAGAGAGAGAGAGAGAGATCTTTCGTTCTTCCATCCACGGGTTCACTCTCCAACAGCTGGGCTGGGCCAGGCTGAAACCTGGAACTCAGTGTGGGTCTCCCACATGGGTGGCAGGGACCCAGGCACTTGGGCCCAGCACCCTTAGGAAACTGAATTGGAAGCAAAGAAGCCAGGACTTGAACTGGCACTTCAGTATGGGATGTGGGAATTCCAAGTGGCCCCTTAACCTGCTGCGCCCTAACCTCTGCCTCCCAATCCGTGTTTACTGGGCAGTAGAGGACCTCCTGTGTGTCGTCCTACTTTGCTCTTTCTCCTGCCCTGGGTCTACCTTCTTTCTCCCGGCCTCTGGGCTATCATTCTCTTCTAATTGTTGGAGTAGGGAATGAACGGTCCTGGCTGCGTAGAGTTACTACAAAACTTCTTCTTAGCATATGCTCCGGGCTATGACGTTAACGAAAATAGTCACTGTCTTCCCTACCTCATCTGGGCCTCTCCCTGTTATCCTGGCTTGAGTTGCATAGGGTTCCCATCACGAGTTATGGAGGATACGATGCCCATTGTACTCCATAGGAATGGAAGGCTTCAGCTCATACGGGTCAACTGAACACTTGGAAAAATTGGGTGATAGCTTCAGTTATGTAGAATGTTTTGAGAGGCCACACTCTGGGAATGATCAGTATTTAAGGGGCAGACAGAAGTAGGAAGGTAGTGGTGCAACTTGGAAAAGCACGGTCACAACAGGAAAAGAAACAGCCCAGAGCAGCATCTCGGATGCCACCAAAAGGGAAGGGTGACCAAAATTGGGGTGGGGCAGAACCCCGATCGCCTGCATCTGATGGATGTACTCAGGAGGCTCCATCGCTAAGCGTTCGGAACATCGCTGCTTCAATGCATCCCCGAATGCTCTGATTCCATGAGCCTGGGAGTCCAGAGACTGGTATAGCTCTAAAGTTCTTCACTGCTCTGGTGAGCCATCTGCCCCGTTTTCTGGGTCACTGGGGCGCTGGTTAAGAGACAAGTGGTAGGAGCTTGTCAGAGCTTCTTTTTTTTTTTTTTGACAGGCAGAGTGGACAGTGAGAGAGAGAGACAGATAGAAAGGTCTTCCTTTGCTGTTGGTTCACCCTCCAATGGCTGCCGTGGCTGCTGTGCTGCGGCCAGTGCATTGCGCTGATCCGATGGCAGGAGCCAGGTGCTTCTCCTGGTCTCCCATGGGGTGCAGGGCACTTCAGTATGGGATGTGGGAATTCCAAGTGGCCCCTTAACCTGCTGCGCCCTAACCTCTGCCTCCCAATCTGTGTTACTGGGCAGTAGAGGACCTCCTGTGTGTCCTCCTAGTCAGGCGCCCCGACCAGGACTAGAACCTGGTGTGCTGGCGCCGCAAGGCGGAGGATTAGCCTAGTGAGCCGCGGCGCCGGCCCAGAGCTTCTTCATAGCATTTTGTCAGGTCTGTGGCACGAGCTCAAGGCAAGAGGGCCCCCTGCATGCTGGGCTCAATTTCTACTACATTCGCTCTCAGCCTTCATCTTCTGATGTTGCCCATTTTTGTCTCTTTCTGTGTGTGCATCTTTGTGGCTATTTCAATAAGAAGTAGGTAGAGGTTACTTACTGTTCCTTTATGATTTGTGGTGATAAGAATAAGACTGTAGGAGGAAAATGGCAACTGGATCCCATCCTATGGAGTCTTTGGAAATAATTAACTGAGTGGTTCAGAGGTCAAGACCCCAGAGTGAAGATGAGGTGCCCTGCTTGCATAATTATTCCCAGTTTCTATGTGAATGGAAACTATACGGAACCTGATAGGCAATGTCTGTGGTCAGGAGAGGAATCTGTCATTAAAGGAGCCGCCATAGCTACAGCGCTTACTGGAGCTTGCACTAGGCTGGGAGGACCCGGGGCCACTGTGTGCAAGGGACCTGGCTCTGTGGGGAGACTTGGGTGGTGACAGCTGCCACTCATCCCTGGGCCACTATTCCAGAGGCAATGGCTCAGACTGGAGGTGCTATGATGGGAATGCCAGCCCTTGCTGGGTGGAGACTGGGAGCCCTGATGAAGGAAGCCTTTAGGTGAGCCCCTTTGAGAGCCCAGGGCTGGGTAGACACCATGCATGGGACAGGGGTGGATCCCGTCCTCATGAAAGACTTCAGCTTGAGGTGCTGGCCATCGGAGAGTCCAGGAACACTTAGCTTGCCCTGATCTTTAGCTTTTCCTCTCCTCTCTGATGCTCTTACTCTGAGACGTTCCCACGCCTACACCCCAGCGAGGTGGCCATAGGGAAACCCCAAGGGCCGGATGACGAGTTAAGGGAATTCTCCTGTCATCTCCTGCTTCCAGAGAGCAGGGTGCCTTATGCTACAGAGTGGACTGTGCTCTGGGGAGTGCGCAGTGTTCACAGAGAGCTGGGTGAAAAGGGGAGGGACTCACAAAGGGCCCCAGGGCAACACACCCGAAATTCAAAGTTCTCAGCTGTGCAGAATGAGGAAGTTCCCCTCTGATACATGAGGTCGCCCACACCCAGGGAAACAATGGGTCCATTCACGGAGCCCAGACAGTGATGGGGCAGGTCTGTGCTAATCAGTCGGGATTAGGCTGCTTTTTATCACTATAACACCATACGTGAGAAAGTTTAACTGCACAAAGAGAAAGGTTTTATTTAGTGCACCGTTCTGGAGCTTCAAGTCCAAGGCTGGGTGGCTTGGGTTTGGTGATCTAGTGAGATTGGTGGATGGCACTGGCAGAGTGTATGTGCAGGAAGGACCCCGTGGCGAGCTAGGAAGCAGGGAACTGTTGGGCCCAAGCTCAGGTTTTTATAACATCCCTCTGGGGAGCGCTACCTTCTGACAGCACACCCTCAATGTCCTAAGCCATAGGTGCTGTGGTGTGGTGGGTAAAGCCACTACCTGCAGTGTCAGCATCCAATACAGGCTCCAGTTCCAGTCCTGGCTGCTCCACTACCAATCCAGCTCCTTGTTAATGTGCCTGGGAAAGCAACAGAAGATGGCCCAAACACCTGGTCCCCTGCATTCACGTGGGAGACTCAGATGAAGCTCCTGGCTCCTGGATGAAACTCCTGGCTCCTGGCTTCCATCTGGCCCAGCCCTGGCTGTTGCAGTCATTTGGGGAGTGAACCAGCAGATGGAAGATCTCTTTCTCTCTGCCTCTCTGTAACTCTGTCTTTCAAATAAATAAATAAATCCTTTAAAAAAAAAAAAAACTTAAGCTCCCCATTCCCCCATATCCTCCATCTCTAATCACCATGACTGGATTATTTCCCCTTCTTCCTACCACTGATTTATGATGCTGGGGCTTAATATCCTACATGAGTTTGGGAGCCAATGGTACTGAAACCATTCTATGTACACAATCAACTGTCTTTATTGTGGTAAAAGATGCATAACATAATTCCACCATCTTAACCATTTTAAGTGTACGATTCAGTGGCATTGAGTCCATTCACATGCTATGTGACAATCACCTTTGTCCATTTCCAGGACACTTTCATCATCCCAAACAGAAATTCTGTACCCATTAACTAATAGCTGCCATTCCTCTATGACTTTGCCTATTTTAGGTACCTCATATCAGTGGAGTCATACAATAGTTATCTCTTGGGTCTGACATTTCATTTAGCATGATGTTTTCAAGATACATCTATGTTGTAACACATATCAGAACATCCTTTTCTTTTTTAAGGCAGAATAATATTCCACTGTGTGTCTATACCACCTTTTGCTTATTCATTCATCTATTGATGAACACTTGGGTTGTTCCCAACTTTTGGATGCCAAGAATAATGATGCTATGAACACTGGTGTGCAAGTGTTTGTTCGAGTCCCTGCTTTCAATTCTTTTGGAATTTCTGAATCATACTGCAATTCAATGCTTAACATTTGGAGAACCTGGACAAAACCAAATTTAACATCCCATGAGAACACCATGAGAGGAGCAACATTACTGCCCTTTCTCCTTCACTTTTATACACCCAGTCCATAGCCAGGCCCTGGAGACTCTGGCTCTGAAAGGTGTCTCAAACCCTAGCACCTGACCCCATTTCTACCACCATCACCCTAGTCTAAGTTGCCATCATCTCTTTTCCCAAGATCACAGCCTTTTAACTGGTTCCCTGTTTCTACCTTTTTTTTTTTTTTTTTGAAGATTCATTTATTTATTTGAAAGTCAGAGAGGAGAGGCAGAGAGAGAAAGAGGTCTTCCATCTGATGGTTCACTCCCTAGTGGCTACAATGGACGGAGCTGCACCAATCTGAAGCCAGGAGCCAGGAGTGTCCTCTGGCTCTCCCACGCAGGTGCAGGGGCTCAAGGACTTGGGCCATCTTCTACTGCCTTCCCAGGCCACAGCAGAGAGCTGGATCAAAGAGAAGCAGCTGGGACTAGAGCCTGCGCCCATATGGGATGCCGGTGCTTCAGGCCAGGGCGTTAACCAGCTGAGCCACAGTGCCGGGTCCTCCTGTTTCTACTCTTGACCTCCCTGCTCCTTTCTGCTCACAGCAACCAGCGTCCTCCTGAAGGCAAACTGGGCAGCAAATTGGGCTTTGTGGCTTCCCCTGGTTAAAGTCTTCAGTAGCGGGGCATATACGTGGCTTAGCAATAAAACTCATTGGGACACCCACATCTCACATAGGAGTGCCTGGGTTCCAGTCCTGGGTCTGCTTCCCGTTTCAGCTCCCTGGGAATGTGCACCCTGGGAGGCAGCAGGCAATGGCCCCAGTACTTGGGTTCCTGATACACACATGGGAAGGTTGCATTGTGTTCAGGCTCCCTCTTTGAGCCTGGCTCAGCCCCCACTGTTGCAGACACCTGAGGAGTGGACCAGCAGATGGGCGATGCCTTTCTCGTCCTTTTTCCTTCTGTCACTCTGCCTTTAAATAAAAACAGAACAAAACAAAACAAAAAAATACCTTCAGTGGCTTCCCAATGCACTCAAAGGAGCATTCAAAGGCTTCGCCTCACCTATGAGTTTGTGCCCATCCTGATCTGCCTCAGTGTCGGGGTCACCCCCAGTGTGGGGTCCTCTTTTTCCCCTTTCTACATTCTAGACAAGATTTCTCGCAGCAGGCTACAGCCAGGCCCAGGGATGTAGACCCTGGGCCAGGTGCCTGCAGTCACACAGCTCCTGCATGGACTCCAACGGCCCACACAAAGAGTGCCATTTTCTCAGAGCCACGATGCGAACAAAAGGAGAAAGCTCTCTTACCAGCGCATCCTTCTCTCACTGTCTTGAATGCCCCTGATATCTTCCTGTTCAGACCTTTGCTGTGTGCTTTTCCTATCTTCCAGAACATTCCTTTGCCCACCCTCACCTCCAGCCCGCCATTGCATCCCCACTCTGCGGCACTCACAGCTGTCCTCCCTAACTTGTACCACCCTCAGTTCTCAGCTGCAAAACGCATATAAGGTACCAGTAAAGAGCAGGGGCTCCGGAGCCGGCCGCCATGTGCGTTGGCATTTTACCTTTGCAATTCTTATACTTTGTATCTTTGGCCCACTTGCTTCACTGTGTCTGCAGAGAAATTGCCAGAGAGAGTGGGCCAGCCTGAACCCAGCAAAGCAGCAAAGTAGATTTCACCAAGCACTGTCTGCCAGGTGCCAGATACTGAGACAATATTGCTCATGTGTTGCCCCATGTAATCCTCACGTTATTCTCATCACCCTGCTTTCCAGATGGCGAACTTGAACTTCAGCAAGGATAAGTGGCTTAGCCTAAAGCAAGACATTGAGAAACTTCTCACCTCCCTAGCAGTCACATAGAGAGTAATATACTGGAAGACCATTTGCCAGAGAGCAGTGAAGTCCTGGCCTCCATTTTTTAAAAAATATTTATTTATTTATGTGAAAGGCAGAGTTACAGAGAGGTAGAGGCAGAAAGAGAGAGAGAGAGAGAGAGAGAGGAGAGGAGAGAAGAGAGAGGTCTTCCATCAGCTGGTTCACTTCCCAGATGGCTGCAATGGCCAGAGCTGAGCCGATCTGAAGCCAGGAGCAAGATCCTCCAGGTCTCCCACGTGGATGCAGGGGCTTAAGGACTTGGACCATCTTCTACTGCTTTCCCAGACCATAGCAGAGAGCTGGATCGGAAGTGGAGCAGCCAGGACTCAAACTGGCGCCCATATGAGATGCTGGAACTGCATGTGGAGGCTTTACCCATTATGCCACAGTGCCAGCTCCCTGGTCTCCACTATTGATCCAGATCCCGCTGTAGCTGATAAATCCCAGCTTGGTCAATTTCAACAGAAAGATATTTCGTAAGAAGAAGTCAGTGCTGATAAAATAATTAGAAAAAGCAGAAAGTATATTAGCCCTCCAGACCACTCTGCCTCTCCCCTTGCATGGCGTGACTGTTACCTTCCATCCCACGTAGCATTTTGCAGCTCAGCTTGTGACTTTCGTATCAAGGTGGAGCCTCTGTCCCTGCCTTGAACTGCGGTTGCTGGAACAGCATCACTTGACCAAAAGAGCAAGGTGGAAAAGATGCTGTGCCCACTTCTGATGTGGCCCTTGACTGTGGCTTTCCCTGCCTCGTTGGAAGGTTTGCTCGTGGGAGGTGCCTTCTCTGAGTCTAGACACCAGGCTGTGCACAGCCCATGCAACACAGAGCGGCTACACGGAGCTGTTTCCATCAGCAGCCTCGGGAGCACTTCCCGCCAATAGTCAGCATCAACTGCAGCATCAGCTGTCCCTGGGACACCCAGCCCAGTCCAGCTTCCGGGTGACTACATCCCAGCCAGCATCTGAACATAACTTCATGACAGATGCCCAAGGGAGCAGGCACAGGCCACAAGAAACAGTAAGAGATTGTCGTTTCAAGCCATTAAGTTCAGAGACGGCCTATCACAGAGCAACAGCTAACTGGAACTTTCCTGACCAGGGATGTGCTATGGCTGGTGCTGAAACCACTGAACAGGAAAACCGCCTGCTAACGTAAGGAACTCCCAGGACAACTGGTCCCCAAATCGGGGACCCCTGCTCTGCGATGAACCACACACAAAATGGATTCCTACGTTTTGCCTCTTTGCTCCCCCCCGCCCCCCCCCCAAAAAAAAACTCATGAAAATGCCTATGATTGGTCAACTGGATCATGTATGAAATCCTAGCTACAAGGAAGTCTGGGAAATGTAGTTTTTTTTAAAAAGCTGTCCAGTCTGTAAGATAAAAGTATATTGAAATGGATATTGAATAAAGCGGTCCTCAGCCATCTGTTCTAATTCCTCAATGACCAAGCAATCTCAGGACACAAGAAAATGTTTTAAAATTACATTCTGCATGATTCAAACTCTTCATCCAAAACATCTGTTGCATTCATTACTCTGTACATCACACTCAATTATTTTACTATTTAGTTGCGTATCTCTCTGTTCTGAGAGTTCTTTGATCTTTATTTTTTTTAGCAACTACAAAAAACAGTTGAAACATGATAACCCTTTGGTGATTGGTTATTTCTTTATTTTTAGAGAGATCTTTTTTTAAAAAAATATTTATTTATTTTAAAGGCAGAGTTAGAGGAAGGCAAAGGCAGAGAGGTCTTCCATCTGCTTGTTCACTCCCCAGATGGCCGCAATGGCCAGAGCTGCACTGATCCAAAGGCAGGATCTTCTTCCAGATCTCTCATGCAGGTGCAGGGACCCTAGGACTTAGACCATCTTCTACTGCCTTCCCAGAACATGGCAGAGAGCAGTATTGGAAGAGGAGCAGCTGAGACTCGAATCGGCTCCCATATAGGATGCTGGCACTGCAGGCGGCAGCTTTACCCACTACACCACAGCGCCGGCACTGACTGGTTACATTTTAACTAAAAGGATGCCGATGTCTTTGTAGGTTGGACTCATTGTACACAAAAAATAGAATAGTCTGGAGTCTTAGAATATCGGTAAAATTTTCTTTTATAAATTCAGTGTATGTTAAGGGGTTTGTTATTAAGGTAAAAACTCACCTAAAATTCATCATTTTAGCTACTTTAAAGTAAACAATTCAGTGGCATTTAGTACATTCACTGTGTGGTACAAATGTCACCCTCGTATCTGAAACATTTTCATCACCACAAACAGAAACCTGTATCCACAAAGAGGCCCCTTTCGCCTCCCCTCTGTCCCCAGTCCCTGGCAATCGTTAATTTGCTTTCTGTCATGACCTACTCTGGATATTGCATATAAATGGAACTATACAGCGTGTGACCGTTCGTGTGTCTTCTTTTCCATGGCATAACACAGTCAAAGTTCACCTGTGTGCATGTATCAGCACTGCCTTCCTTTTTACAGTGGAATGATATTCCACGTACGGCTGTACCTCCTTTTCTTTATACACCCATCCACTGATGGACATTTGGCTTGTTTCCACCTTTTGGCTGTTGGGAATAGTGTTACTATGAATTGTTGTTGCTAGGTTTGCATTGATACTTGCTCTCAGTTCTTTGGTTTACATACTACAGAGTGGACCAGAGGGGCCATCTGCCTGCTGTGTGTCATTGCCATCGCAACATTTCCCTGGCTGAAATGTGTTGCATTTGATGGCATTAAAGGTTGTTTGCTTTGTGTGCATCGGCTTTTCGGCTGACAGGTCAAGAGCTCTGCCCTGTAGCAGGTGGGCTTCTGTTGGTGTGCTTGTTTAGGGAAGGGATTATAGCTTTTCATTACAAAAAGACAAAATAACTCCCTGGCTACAAACAAGATTTCCAGAGGAACTGACAAATTTGGACTTCTTTGTCCTTCTCCCCAAACCCTGTTGTTTCAAATGAATTTAAAATCAATAGGCAACATGTTCTTCCAAATTTAGCTGTGTCCTACCAGAATCCATGCCTGTGCAACTACTGCTTTGTACAATAATCATATAAAACCCGTAAGTGACAATTAGAGGTCATATAGTGATCAGACATCTGAAGTTGGCAGCCAAAATACCTGGGTTTGAATTCTGGCTGTCCTGCCTTCTATTTGTGATATCTTGGGCAGTCTTCTTACTCTCTCTGCACCTCAGTTTCTTCATCTGTAAGGTGGGCTAATACTAGTACCTCTGTAAGGATGCAAATACTTAGAAGAGCCTATGACATGAGGGCAGTCTTTGTTGAACATTTATTCACAAATGCATCCAGAAAATAACAATGCCTACAATCAAGATAATAAATTAGTAGTAAAGCTTCCTCTGAAGGAGGTTCCTGTTGATTTTAGTTGTGACAATGCCCATCCCTTTCTACAAAAGAAAAAAAAAAGCCAAAACCAGGGTGCCCCCCTGAAACAAAACATGTACAAGCTATAGAGGGAACTTTGTGGCACAACCAAACTTTTTTTTTTAATTAAAGCTTTTTTTTTTAAAGGAAATACATTTGTAGCTTTTTTGCCTTTTTTTTTTTAAGATTTATTTATTTATTTGAAAGTCAGAGTAACACAGAGAGAGAAGGAGAGGCAGAGAGAGAGAGAGAGAGAGAGAGAGAAAGGTCTTCCATATGCTGGTTCATTCCCCTAATGGCAGAAATGGTCAGAGCTGGGCTGATCAGAAGCCAGAAGCCAGGAGCTTCTTCCGGGTTTCCCACATGGGCGCAGGGTCCCAAGGACTTGGTCCATCTTCTACTGCTTTCCCAGGCCATAGCAGAGAGCTGGATTGGAAGTGGAGCAGCTGGGATTCGAACCAGCACCCATATGGAATGCTGGCACTGCAGGCGGCAGCTTTACCCACTACACAACAGTGCTGGCCCTGGCACAACCAAACTTAATAATTCACTTCAGATACTTAAAAAGAGGTACTCCAAAATTTAAAAATAATCTTTCCAATGACAATCAACTATAATAACAGCTTCTAGCTTTTGGGTTTGAAGTCAGGATTCTTTCATGCATCCAGCAAGGACTAATTCAGCTACCATAATGCCCAGACACAATGCAAAGTATGGAATAGTGGCTAAAACAGGTATTATCCTCTTGTATCTTCCAGCCCAGAGGTGGGGGACAGAAATGAAAAACAAGTTAACTATGAACTGTACAGTTACAATCTATCATAAGAACTAATTGAATAGAATACAATAGATAAGTTAAATGAAATAATGCATAAGAAATGTTTAGGAAAGTGCCTGGTCCTTAAAAAACTTGCAATAAGTGTTACCCATGACTATTAATTATTCAAAAATTATCATAATCTATCCAGTTTATTCACCTATTTTTAGGGGCCGGCATTGTAGCACAGTGGATTAAGCTGCTGCCTGATATGACAGTATCCCATATGAGCATTGGTTCAAATCCCAGCTGCTCCACTTTTGATCCAGCTCCCTGCTAATGGCCTAGGAAAGCAGAGGAAGATGGCCCAAGTACTTGGGCCCCTGAACCCGCTTGGGAGACCCAGATGGAGTGTGAGGCTTCTGGCTTGAGCCTGACCCTGCTATTGTGGCTATTTGTGGCGTGAACTAGTGGTTGCAGGATCTCTCTCCATCTATGTATGTGTGTGTCTCTCTTTCTGAGGGAGCGATAGAGATAGACAGAGATCGCCCAACTGATGTTCCATGTCCCATATGGCCATAAGGGCCAGAATTAAGTCAGACCAACGCCAGGAGCCAGGAGCTTCATGGGGTCTCCCATATGAGTGCAGGGGCCCAAACACCTGGGCCATCTGCTGCTTTTCCCAGGCCATTAGCAGGGCACCAGATCAGATGTGGAGAAGCAAAGACTTGAACCAACACCCATATGGGATATTGGCATTACCCATGATGCCACAATGCTGGCCTCAATAAATAAATAAATCTTAAATAATAATAATAATAATAAAAGAACCTCATCATCTTAAATTTAGGTTTGCTGCCCTCTGGTGGGAAATTGGAGTCATAGCCACACACGTGGCTGAGAAAAGTCTAGTGTTGTGGGTTTTAGCTGCCTCCCAGTGACTGGGACCCAGGAAAGGCATGGGATAGGCCATGCAAGGTGCTTGCCTGCTGTAAGGCCCTGGCTTGGGAAGCTCAGATGGTTCCCTTGTGCATGCCCAGTGTCTTGTGATAGCACACCCCCACCCCACCCCCAACTCTCCTTGGGCAGCTATAGACGTTGGTCAGTGGACTGGGGTAGAGTGGCAGGCCCAGCTAAGCAGACCTTAAAAATAGCGCAAGAGGAGCTAGTGCTGTGGTGCAGTGGCTTAAAGCCCAGGCCTGCAGCGCCGTCATCCCATATGGGCACCGGTTTGAGTCCCAGCTGCTTCACTTCCAATCTGGCTCTTTGCTATGCCTTGGGAAAGCAGTAGAAGATGATCCAAGTCCTTGGGTCCCTGTACCCACATGGAGACCCAGAAGAAGCTCTTGGCTCTTGGCTTCTGATCAGCTCAGCTCTGGCCGTTGTGGTCATTTGGGGACTAAACCAGTGGATGGAAGACCTCTCTCTCTCTGGTTCTGCCTCTCTCTGGACTCTGTCTTTCAAATAAATAAAGTACCTCTTAAGAAAAAAAAAATAGAGCAAGAAAGAGCCACTTGATCAACAGAGAAAAGGCATGGTGAGTGTTTGCCGGCAAAATGCCTGCTGCCAGGTGGCCAGGGCTGCCTCCCATCTCGAAGATACCGCAGCAGCCTTGGGAACCTGGGTGGGGTGTGGGACTGCTGCCTTTTTCCTGCCTTCTCTGATCATCCTCTCGCCCGCCATCCACCACCCCCATTAGCCCAGCTGATTGTGATGTCAGAATTTAGCCACCAAAGGTGCTTTACATCCACCGTCCCAGTCCACCCCCTCGTCCTGCACATGAGCTGCTCAGCCAATGCCAGCCACTGGCAGTGCAGGACTCACATCCACTTCTTTCTGTCCTCAAAGCCTGCGCTCCTCCCCCGACCCCATATCCCATGGTATTAACAATGAGTTCCTCGGAGTTAGGAGATCACTTGCTGTCTTATATGACAGCAATGCGTTCTTTTCAAAATCGCCGTGTTCAACAGTGTTAGTCAAATTAGCAGATAATGCTTTGTACAAAGCTTTGAAAACAAATGGATACCTTGGAACCACTGGCTCCTCAGGGGCATCAATTGTTTTTCTTCTCTAAAATGTTGATTTATTTATTTTTATGTATTTGCAAG